ACTCTGCTGAATCAATGGGAAGGAGGCCCAGCTCTAGGCCACGAGCACTCAAACGATTCCATCCAATTGGGGCCATTTCGAGAGCCTCATGTTCACCAAAATACTGGAGTTGGGGGGACACTAAAAATAGTTTAATTAAAGCTGAAATTCGAATTGGCGGCTTCCCTCCACAGCGGCTCTAACCCCATGCAGACTTTGGGTTTTCGGCTCGTCCTGCTGTATCTGCTCACACTCTGGCCCTGAGCCGGCAGGAGAACCTTGGCTAATAAACCCCATTCATTTATCCATTCATTTTTTCATCCAAATTTTTTTACTTAAACAGGCCTTTACTTAAGGTTTTTCTTGCAGGGGCAATGCATGGCTGCATAATAAAACAAACACTGGATGACCAGAAGTGCCCCCCCCCCCCCCCCCCACCGAATACTTCAATACACACATGACCCTGGATGGGTCAGCATCTCGACACAGAAAGGCGAGGTCCACACTGTCAGCCGACCTTACCCCTCTCCTGGGACATGGGTGCCTGGCTCATCGTGGCGTGAGTTCCCGCGTCAGTCACACCTCCCACACTCTGCTGGGCCAGCTGGGTGCCTGTTTGGGTGGCGGATGGAAAATTGGTCTGACACTAACGGGGACCAGGGCTGAGACAGTGACGAGGACAGGCCATTTATGTATCAGGTTACAGCGCACGTCAAAGATCAGGATGCCACACGGCTGCTGGTACCAAAAGCACGCTAAGAAAAAGCTTCCTAATAGTGGAGTCTAACTTCACACTCGACAATGTAGAGTCTTCAGGGGACAACAAAAAAGTTCCACAGAGTTTTTTATGGACGGAGAGCCAGACAAAGATAAAGGGTTGTAGAAAACCCATTAGGGTACAGGAGATCTCAAACCGTAGGAGAAACTAAACACAGACAATCAGTCGTGTCTGTATGATGTAAACTCAAGGTGAGGGACGCGGAGGACGAAGAGGAAGAAATCCTTTGTCAGACAGGCCTTTGGGGGGGGTGTCAGCTCATCTGAAACCTCACATATGAGAGAGCAGCATCTAAGGAGAGTGTAAGAATGGTGGGAACTGGGCAGCCTAACAGGATGCTGCCCAACTGGGAGGCAGAAGTCGTGCAATACAAAACCATTTTCCCCAGACGGGGAGCGGGTCAAAAGAGGCAGGGTGCCAACAAGTAAATGGTCTCCCATGGACCTCATTAGTGCTCAGCGGACCGGGGAAGGTGAAAAGGCTCGGCAAAGCACAGATGAAACAGACAAACCCGGCAAACAATCCTAGCCATCAAAAAGGTGGCCTGATAGCAACACACCATGCTGACGGGAGATAATTGTGAGAGATCTTTGGGGTCGCTTTGACCGCTTCACGAAATGCCGCTCCCGTTTCGCGTCTAATGACCGGGCCGGCAGGGTCCCGTTTGTTTTTGGGATGCAGAAGCATCATTAATCGTGTCGGGTCTCCCGCGGCAGCACTAACAAGCTAACGAGGTCCAGCGTCGGCCAAGAACACAGAGGGTATCGGGATTTAAGGCTGCGACGAGGTCTGCGTGCGGGAATGTGATGGCTGTGGGCACCAGTTTGAGGGGGAAAAAAGCCAGTTCTTACAGAATCACGCTGGGGTGTTTTGGAACCTAAACCCCTCAATAAACACCCCCATCAAATACAATCTACATCTGCAGTTTTCATTTCAATTCCCCAGAAACTCTCTTCGCTCGTCCATTAAGCAGACATGCGAACAATCAGTGTTTACTCGTGGGATTGCACGACGGAAAGTTCTCCAGAGTTCCAGGGTGTCCACCAGAAGGTCTCTAACCAAGGGCGGATGCACCAAACCCCGTAGTCCAACCATGAAACATTCAGGCTGGTTCATACCTGCTGTGGACATACCACTGCACACAGGCCAGACACTGAGGTCGGGTGTGGAGACGGACAGGGGAACTGCACACGAGGGCATGTACCATATGAAAACTGAAACAATGTGGATGGTCCGTCCTGTGATGCAAGCACACCCCGATTGTTCATTGGCGCGAGGAAGGTAGCCCAAAAGGATATCAGACCAAACATTATATTAACCAACTTTCCTACTAACTCAGATGAGACTGAAAACAAATTTGGATGGGGGGGGATGATAGGGGATTCGAAGACAGACTGGCTAAGGAATTCTGCCTGCACTTATATAGTTTTAATTTTTTTATTTCGTTCTTATATTTAGTTTCCAGTTTTCCATTTCCATTCCATCCAATTTAGTTTTCAGTTTCATTAGTTTTTATCTTAAAGACATCTATTTAGTTTTTTACATATTAGCTTAAGTTTTAGCAATTCTATTAGTTTTAGAAATGATATTTTTAGTAATATTTATTTAGAGATGGATGGAAAGTTGTAGGACTTATATAGGACTGATATAGTGCTGGTGGCTATTTCTATGGTTCAAGTCTATTGTACAAAAGAGGCTCAAAAATAAATAATTATTTTAGCTAAACTGTTTAAAAATGGCAACAGAAAGTATTTGACATTTGTTTTTATTTTATTTCAGCTAGTATCAGAAGCAATAATTATTCGTTTTATTTAAATTTCAAAATATTTGAAATATTTTTACATCTTATTTTATTTGTTTATAACTATTTTCTTTAACAATAACCCTTGTGTACTGTAAGTACATGATGCACAGCCAGTGTTAGTAAAATGCTTATTGTTACTGTAACATCCAACCACACTTCATAAACATGACTTAAGAGCAGCCTTGCTCCACAGCGCCACCCCAGGCCTGACGTCACAGTATACAGATGCCTGCACGTTGGCACAAGAGGTATAAGCATTTGGCATAGTGGGTGGTCCAGCCCTAGGGCACACATGCTGTGGTGTGTCTGCGTCCACAGTGAGTAGGAACCAGGCCTTAAGGTGCATGACAGCGTTAGAGCAAACTGGCAGCCATTACCACCAAAACAGGTGAGGAGAAAGACATTAATTCAGGGGCATTGTGTGCCTGTGGTCGGGAGGTTAAAGGTTCAAATTCCAGGGATGGCAATGTGACGTCACTGTAGGGTTCTTGAGAAAGGTCCTTAACCCCTAATTGCAGCACGAAAGTCTGACCCAGTTTTCTCAGAAATTTACTTCTCCTGTAAACCCCACAAAAAAAGGAGGAACACTTACGGAGCTGAAATGAGATACAGATTAAAATAACAATAAATAATAATAACAATTAATAATAAGGCAGTGAGAATTCCTCTGCATTTTATATCACACATCAAGATGGCTTCACCATACTTTGTGAGAGCTGACAGGTCCCCCTCCCCCTGAGACAGCAGCCCTTCATGTTTCTGCAGGGGGGGGTTCTAAAATAGCATGTTAAAAAAGGGGGGAAGTGGCACTGATTCAATTTCCTCTTTCATTGTGTTACTCCTCTCACTGCGTCCATTTTGGCAGGCAGAGACTAAGGACACAAAGGGGGGGGGTATATCAGACTGCCGACGTTCCACATGGACGAGGTCGGGGGGGGGGGTTCCTCCTATGAGGGGAACATTACGTGAGCAGCCTGGAGTCCCACTAATGTCGTGCAATTGTGTAAAAGGCTTGTTTTAGAGCAAGGTGAAGAGTTGTCTTTGAAAATATGTATATAGAATGAAATCTTATCTTATCTAGCTCTGATTGAAATGGAGTGAAAACACAAGGCAGAGCTCAGGAAACCGCATTAAGGAAATGAAAGGAGGAAGAAATGAAAGGGCAATGAAGAACAGGATGAACAGGAAGAGGAAGAGTGCTCCGAGCTGGACCGCGTCCACAGCACAGCCGGACCACACGCCTACCTGGACCTGCAGCCGGGGAAAGGGGCCCCTGGCGGCTGGGGGTAGGTCCCACTGGGGGTGGCGGCGATGGGCGAGAGCCGGCAAGGTGTGGGGAGGCGCCGGGGGAGAAAGTGCTCGGCTGGCCCTGGCTGGCAGAGGCTCCCAGGCCGACCTCGGTGCCCGTGGGCAGGTCGTCGATGGAGCCTGACAGGTCCTGGGGGGGAGCAGGAGACAGTGTCACACAGGGGGCACCATTACCATCGCCTCCTAATGCAGCCTGGGATGTGGACCCCACTGCATGGTCGGTGGCGGGAATGAACAAGGGGGAAATGTCTGTGAGAGAGAAGGATAAGACAGCTGGAGCAAGAACCACCCACCAGACGCATCACACCCATTACCAGTTCATGGCTCACGGTCGCAGAAGGGGTCAAATCATAGCCCCTACGTTACACAGCCATCGGTGACCAACTACCTTACATTTACAGCATTTAGCAGATGCTCTTATCCAGAGGACAGTCTGGAGCAAGTTGGGGTTAAGGGTCTTGCTCAGGAGAACCTGCGATCTCTCGGTCCAGAGGCAGGAACTGGCTAGACCACCAACTACCTGCCACACTGAGGTCCTTAACAGCCACCAGCACTATCACCAGCAGGGTCAAGGGCTCCTCCAGTTACAGGGGCATCACAAGTCATTCCTAATCCAGAGAGATCAGATCCCATCCAGCCTCAGAAACAGAGGCAGATTCAGGACAGGCCCATGTCCGGTGCTTGTCAGGACCCCCCCCCCCCCAAAGAAGACAATAAAACCTAATTATGCTTACAAGACACCATTTACGATGAACAGGACACACACACACCACAAGGATGGCACCCATGCCCACAAGAACCGACACGGGAAGATGGGCCAGTCTTCACACGTAGCAACAAACACAAGGGGGCTGAGTGTGACGTCACTCCCTGAGCGTCGCACACACACCCGGCACGGGCCACACTCACCGCCACAATAGAGCCACCTGTTCACCCCACGCTTCGAACCACTGCCAGTGTGCCAGAAGTCAGTGTGCCAGGTTACAGCGCTGATGCCTCAGGAGCCCCATTCACTGAATTGACTGTGCTAGACGCCTCATTAAGGGAAAAAGCCAATTAAGGAAACCACACTTTCGGGTTTTCTGATCAATGTGACAGTTTCCTCAGGACTTATAACGCAGACCTAAACCAGTAAGGTCATCATATAAGATGGTCCAAAAGCCAGAATTGGCGTTAAACCACGTCTGGCTGCCTGTCCAACACAAACCCGGACTGACCAGCTCCGGAATGTTCTGCTCCCGCAGCCAGAGCAGGGCCGGGCCAGGCAGCAAGCTTGACAGGGAAACACTGAGGACGTGGGGAGAGCTAATGGGCTCCCTGAGCCAACAAAATAACAAGGCCTGCAGGAGACCTGTGGGGGGCGTATCTCACACACTTTAAACTGACAAGCTGATGAGTTCTCAGCAGACGGACCCTAAAGCCGGTTCTTTTTCGTGTTCTGTACTTTGGATGTGGTCTTGGGACGAGCGCACCTCTCCTTAGCGGGTCCCGGCAGGACCAGATTGGCTGACGTTCCTCTGGAGCCGCACCTGAAGCAGAAGCCCAGAGCATCTTCAGCTACGCTTTACACACAAGGTTCTGGATGCTCACCCCATTTACAATGACACCTAAACATGGATAACTGGCAACTGGATCCTGCTACAAAATAAATCCCAGGTAATTCAACTATAGTACTTTGCCCCCATTTCTTACATTTTCTTTTTACCCTAAGTTTCTTTTTTTTTTTGGGGGGGGGGGGGGGGTGTAGTTAAAAATAACAGCCCTAGCGACAGGACGCTGTGACTGCCAGCCTCCCTGTGCCGGGTCAGGCCCGAGAGTGCTGCCAGAGGACATGAGCGTGTGCCAGCGCGTTCCCAGCCCGGCCTGGCGATTGGCACTCCACCCAATGATGTCAGCCACACGACTCAGCAAAACCCCACCAGTCCCCCCACCCTCTTCCCCCTCTCGGCTGCCTGCCGGACACCGTCCTTCATCTCTGCTGCTCCAGAGCGTCACACGCAGGCCGTCTTATTGACCCTAGAGACAGGGGGCTTCTATCCTTCAAGTTGGCAACAGGGGCAAAGCTGCTAGGGGACTGACGTCACAGCACCGAGCTCTGAATCGCACCAGGACTCACATCTGATTCCATAAAAACTTTCAGCCAGTCAGTGTTTAATTTTGGGAGCCGCTGACTGAATGCCAGCCCTGGCCAGAGCACCACCGCTGCCCATTGAGTTCCGCGGTTTCCCAGTCACATGTCAGCCATGGGGCCCTTCCCCCACAGCAGGAGGTGACCTCACCTACATACAAGAACAAGCACTCTGTTTCACCCCAGTCCCTCAATATAACAGAGATGAAAAATAAAATTAGCCTCAAAGACCACTCCAATTCAACAAAAGGCAGAGGCATAGCACAGATCTGTTCTGTGTGCCTTAGTGGCGCCCCTCTCTGGCTAGACAGAGTATTGCGAGGTCAGCTAAAGGACAGCACACATCTCTCTTGGAACAAAGCCCCTCCATGCTGCACGAAGCTTGGGCGCAGTCTGAGTCTCGTCCAAAACATCTCACCCGTCCAACTGAGCTTCTGCAGCGAGCCATACAACAGTCGATCGATACCAGATCTCCAAAATTGTAACAATTAACAACCTGTAGGTCATGATCAATTTGGGGCTGTATCCTACGGTCTCTCAGTTATTAGACAAGTGTCAATACAAACAAAGACAAACAGGAGTCGGGCATGATAACGCGATCCTTTCATCATAAGCATTGCTTTTCATGACAGCGACCTTCTCTGCAATTAACATTGCTACCGTTGTCTCAGCTACCCAGAGAACAGATGCCTTGTTTCTTAAACATCTGAAACTTGAACATTCTCACTTTCACGTGGTGGAGGAGGTAACCCCGCCGCACACTCCCTGAGTAAGCAGGTGGCTCACAGCGTTTCCCATCACCCACCATCCATTCAGAGAACAGGACACAGACAGCTGGCCACTACCTCAGCGCTACCAAATCACCGTCCTTCCCCATTTCTGAGCTTCGGCTGCCTGTGCGCCATGGGTGCGTCTGACCTGCAGAGTACTCCTCTGCCTTGGGGAGAGCAACGCTCCCCACTTCCCACCTCCTCCACTTCTGTGGGTTCGTGCTGCAGTAGGGAAACCAATATATGCGGGTCTGGGGTGGAGCTGGCTGCAGTACAAACCTCTGGCCACCAAGACTAGAGTTATGGCTGGTTTTGTTCTGAAACACTGTTGGTCCAGGAGGTTTGGCCCAGCTTGGGACCGACTATCAGTGAACAGGGTTTGGTGTAAGGATTTCAGATGGATGAGCATGGGCAAAATGAACCAGACAACACAGAGACCGAGACCCAGCCGGCAGATGGACCAGGACCCAGTCAGCCAGCAAAGACCAAGACCCAGCCGGCGGACGGACTGCCTACAGACAGATTACGTATCCCGCACTATGCTATTGAGTATTACAGAGTAAGAACTCTGGTGGATTGCCAGGGTAACTTTGGTCTGGGTTTTCATGCTACCACCATAAATAAAAAAACAAGGAAAGCAGAAAAACCAAACAGTGGCCAGACATGAAACACACACACACACACACACACACCTTCAAAGGGCTACTGAAGGTCAACAAAGCCAAGTTCAAGCATCCAAAACTGTCATGGGATTTTTCTGCAGTTAACAGATTTACTACAAACCAAGGCATATCACGGTGTAGATTTTTTTGTGATAAATATTGCGATATTTACAAAGCAAAAAGAATATGAAAATTTTGCCAAAGTAAACTATAACCACAGCTATTATTTTTACCAATGGAGTGCATCAAATAAGTTGGTGCTGCATTGAATTGCCGTGACACAAAACAAGGTCAACAAAACATTTGCTTTTTATCAATACGGAAACCAAGGAAATACAAATACTTCCATAGAGCAGAAGGCAAATGCGTTTTGATGACCGGATCTACAGTATTTTGCTTTTCTTCTCCCATCTCAGCTTTGCTTACGAATTCACTGTCTGAGTGAATCCGAAAGTACGACAAAAATAATTATGATTGACTCAAAGAACGCATGCAGAACTCACACAAAAGCAGCGGTAAACTGATGTTTTTTTAACATATACTAGATTCTATTTGAAAAAGAGCAATCATTAAAATCACAAAGCTTGTTTAGTTTTGGTTCTTTGAAATCACAGCTAAAAGCAAAACGTTCATGTAGAGCAAAAATGTTTCAGTGAATCTCATTTTTAACTTGTGGGGACATTTTCCAGGTCCCCGCATTATAAATCTCAATTTATTAAAATCTGCGACTGCAATCAAACAACTAGAAATGCCAAAAGGTTTGTTGTATTTTGTTTGGTTGCTTAAGGTTAGGGCTGGGTAGGGGTTAAAGGTGTCATGGTTGGGATTAGGGTATTTTTTCCATAGAAATGAATGGAGAGTCCCCACAATAAAATGAATACAAACGTGTGTCTGTGTGTGTATGTTATGTTTTTATTACATTGTGGGGACCACAATGTCATAAAAACCAGTCATTTTGATGTTGTGGGGACCATTTTTCAGTTCTCCACAAAGATTTGTGAATGCAATTAAAAAACAAAAAAATGCCAAAAGTTCATATTTTGTTTGGTTACTTATGGTTAAGGTTAAGGCTGGGTAGGGGTTAAGGTCATCATGTTGGGATTAGACTTTTCCCCATAGAAATGAATGTTGAGTCCCTAACAAAGATATAATTAGAAACCTCTGTGTGTTTGTACATACGTACGTACATACATAACGGCATTTGCTATTTCATGGGAAAGTTTCTGAGAAAATGCTCCCAACCCCAGTGACAACCTGAACACCAATGCCTACTTTTTGCCAGAGTCGCTCAGCATTCTCATTTCTGGCTATGCAGCAACTTCCCTCCTCCTCCGCTGCCACTGCGTTCATTCGGTCAGACAAACGAAGCTGACAAGCCGGCGTGTCTTCGCAGCCAGAGCGGAGCCGGACACAATGTGCCAGGGTGGGGTGTGCTTTGATGAGCTCAAACCGCAGAGGCACAGAGCAGATCCTTTATATATAAACAGAGGGAGAGAGGGGTACACGTGTTCCGTGTTTGGTCTGCAGGGCCGCTAATGATGCACCTGTTTACTACAGACACGACAGGAGG